GAAACATTTCCAGTGAGATTATCCGCTTTTAAGATACGTAGAAATACAACTTCACATAAAAAAAAAATGACTTTACTCCAGACAGAGAGCAGAAAGTAAAAAAAAAAAAAAAGGTCCAAACTACGCAGCAGGCATGCAGTCTACCACAGCAACACTATCGCTTTATTTTTATTGGTTCCTGAAACCTCCGGTCTTCATATTTACACCATTAAAGGCTGGTTATCGTCCCGCAGCAGTGTGACGCAGTTAGCTTGTTGCAGGTATGACACAGATATGTTTGATTCTTGCCTATGGGCGGTTCTAGACAGGGGCCTACGGGGGCCAGTGCCCCTGCAGATCATGTCCTGACCCCTGTGCCGAATAAATAATGATGATATACGCTGCAACAGACATGGTTACTGATGGGTCCTTTAGGTCTATTTCACATTTTTTCTTTACAAATTCTGTTTTATTAATTATTTAAAATAAAATAAAGTGATAGCTTCATAGGTATTGAGATAGGCTCCCAGTTTTCATCTGCTAAATGTTGTTTTTTTCAAAACAAATTTGAAAAAATACAGTAAAAAACGGTAATTTTCACTTAAATTAACAAAATAAAATTCCTAAATTGTGAATGAATAGACCTAATATTCCAAATAATAGCTTTATTTGATCTTTTAGATATTAATATTTTGAGTTGCTTTCTTGTGGTTATTTATTTTGATTTTAACAATAATCCAAATGAACATGTCCCCCCCCCCAGGCATTGTGGGCGGCGCTACAGCCAGAGTTCTGCCACACTGGAAAAACGATCTAGAAATAAGTAAAAAATGTCTTAATTTAAGTGTATTTACCCTTAATTTGAGTTGGTAAATGAGATAGTTCAGCATTTTTACTCTTAAAATAAGATAATTAGATAATATACACTTAAAATAAAAAAAAATGCAATTGTGTTTCCTTATTTTAAGTGTAAATTGTCTTGTTCCGTTGGCAAAATGTCTCTTTTACCTCCTCAATCCAAGAACAAATGCACTTAGTTTAAGAAAAAAATGACTTATCTAGATGTCGATTATTTCCATTAGCATTAGGTACAAACAGGAAATACGCTTAGTGTAGAGCGGATGTAGAATTGACCAATCAGAGGCCTCCTTTCTCTCCTCCCTGCGACATAATCTATGACGCTGTCTGAGGTCATCTACAATTTTGGGCAGGTGTGTCACCCGATCCGTCCTGCGTCATCAGCTCATTAGCACATGCAGATACATCCGGGTCGCACTCCATTTTATTTTAAAAAGACCTACATGATGTTTCTCCTTTCCAAAAAATAGTAAACCTACAAAAATATAATGTGTTAAAGGTGAATAATGTATTTTCTGATAAAATAAATGCATTCAAACGTTCTGTTTTATCACTCTCTGCCTGACCTTCAGCGGAAATACGACCCTGCGCTACTTCCAGGAGCTAACTTTTTCGGCATTGGATTTAAACATAAATCTCGTCTTTTTCAGTTTTATGTTTTCGTTAAGTTTTAACCTTTTGGTATATAGTTCGTAATCTAAAGAGAGAAACAACTAAAATGCAAATAAACTTGGTTTAATCATATTTTGCCGGACTGCTCTGAGCACGTCTCATGACGTCAGAGAAGCAGTTTAATGGAGAAAATTTAAAAAGCATCAAAACTGTATTAAAAATACCTTTTTAAAGAGGTTTATTAGCATTATTTATTGAGTTTAGGATCGAAATAAGTAATTTTAGTACCATAATTACAGTATTTATGGACATCCGGATGTAATTCTATTTGAGGATGCGCAGGATGGATCGGGTGGTGAACCAGAGTGTCTGCGGAAGGGGGGAGGGGCATATCTGCGGTAACTGGAACACACACGCAGACAAACTGGTTTCTGAGCATAAACCAGGCTTAAAACTTCCCACTGATCTACAGCAGCAGCCTGCGATAGCACATCTCCCAGAACTGATCCAGAACCGCTTTATGTCGCCTCTCAGGGTTCTGCTCCCCTCTTTTTCTGTTTCCAAGCCAGAGCTGGAGTCCAGAAAGACGTCTGCTGCCTGTCTGCAGTCAGGATTTGATTGGATGAGGTGGATTTAGAGCTCCGGTTCACATGAGAGGTAATTGGCTTGTTGGAACCTGAGCGGGATCCGTCCAACTGGGCCAGAACCTGAACGCTACAGCTGTGCTGGGGTTTGGATCTGGAGAGGAAGGCGGGTTCTGGAGACGTCTGGCCTGGTTCTGCCCTTCCTCCGTCTGACAATGGCTGCCGGGTGCGTCATGTCTAATCAAATAACAAGCGTGTGGAGGGGGGGTTTCTTTTAAAGCTGGGAGAAGCTGAAAGACAGAGAAACTGGGAACCAGTTACTATCCCAGTTAGCAGGAAACCCAGTTTGTCTGAAAAAAAACCCAAATCCTGACTGGTTTCCAGACTGATATTAATTCATTTGACTCATTAGATTGATGGAGGGATTATGTCTGGATTAGAGCTTCACTGCTGAGTCTGCAGCATCTCCTAACCTACTGAGGAGCAAAGGTCAAAGGTCAGCCCATTAATGGGTCTGAAACTAAACAAGATATCGACTCAAATTATTAAGGTTTTCATTAACTGCGCTGCTTCAGAAAGATCCTGATCCAAAATCAGAGGAAAATGTCTCCAATTTATCATAATCTCATATTTTCTTGTAACCGTTTGGTTTCTTTAAAATGATGCAAACCAATCAGATCCAGCTGATACGGATTTACAGATTTTCAGGTCTAACTTCTCAGAGTTTTCTGTCTATAAACCATAAAATAAATTAACTCATCTGTTGGACCATTGTTTAAGCTTAATGATTAAAAATCCTGCTGCTGGATTCAGGATGTGAACTTTGACCCCTGTGATTGAATCGAGTTCCCTCTGATTCAGCAGAAGTAGAAGATTTATGTGCTGCTCTTTGTGTATGGAGGGAATTTTATTCCATTATTGTTGCTAGCAAAGGAAGGTGTTTTGTAAATGGATGTTTGAGGAAAGGAAAAAGAATGAAATCCAGAATTAAAAACATTAAAAACGTAATAAAAAAAAGCTTTTTAGAGCCAATTTGCGGTTTTCTCATATATTATTTTCATATTTAATTCTATTAAACTTTGCTACTTTGAAATAAAATATTTTTTTTCCCATATTGTGTTTTCAAATTTTCTTAAAACTGTTTTACTGATTAAATTCTCTTTACATCGAGTCAAAAACAAACACTCGCTCTCGACCAATAGAAATGTTGCTAACGTCAAGCGGACCAATAGAAACGCATCCAGAGGAAAGCCCGCCCACCAGAAGTGAACGGCTCATGATCTGATCTGTAAAATACAATTAGAAAATAATGCCATTGAGTTTTATACTCAATCTGGAAACAGGAAATAAAAAAAAACCTATATTTGAAAATATAAAAAATATGTTTTTGTACATTAAAGTCTGTTTAAATAAAAATCTGAGAAAAAAGAGAATTTACTTTAAAACCTTAAGTTGATTACTAAGTTTTGTTTCTGGATTACATTTAGTTATTTTTTTTTTTTTTAAGCGGTTAATGGAACAAATTTCCCTCCGTATCGGGGCGCCAACTTGAGTTTTCGCGTTAATTTTCGCTGCTGCTCTAGTCTGACACCTAGTGGCTTCCTATGCACAGTAGCAGCCATTCAAAATGGCAGCCGACTTCCCTGCAACTCCAGCAAAATCCCCTCCACAAACCCAACAGATTTATTTCCTCTGACTCCACCCTTTCCCTGAAATACAGGGTCTGACCAGGAGATGGCGCTTCTCTTTAGCTCTTAATGTCCACAAATCATGACAGAAAGAAAATTTTAGAACAAATATTGACGTTTAAAAAGGAATTATAGGGAACCAGCCAAGAAAAGTGGGGAAATTTTAAACGGCTACAAACAGTAAAAGTTTTATAAACATTCAAACTCAACTGCTTGTTTTGTTTAAGACCATAAAAAATGCATATTTCTTGTGTGAAACTAAACTTTAAGTCCAACGAAAATCCAGAACGCTGCATGTTTCTGAACGCCGCAGAAAGAGCTCGCCAGAGCGGACGATTTGAGACGGGAGCCAATGAGGGATGGGATGGAAACCTGCGGACCGTCCCTGGAAGGTGGACATTTAAAGATGGGACGAATGCATTAAATCAAAGCTGAGCTCCTCCGTCTGCAGGACGTGCTAGACTCTGCAGGACGAGGAGGGGGGCAGAGGCTCAGAGCTGGGAGGGGCTGCAGTAATCAGTTAATCTTATTATTTCCACAGCCGTGTGTGTGTGGAACAAAGGGTGGAGTAAACAGCTGATGACCCTGGCTGCCTTCCACTGGAACAATGCCGACACGGATCCTCAGATTTAAGGAACTGACAGAAAGTTCCGCCCGCTCCGCTGCAGGACACCACATGGAGCTCCAGCTGCTCCCATCAGTCCCTTTTCACAGATCAGATCTCCATCTGAACCCTTTTCTCTAGCCGACCTCCTAAATCAGTCAGAGCCAAAGCTGTTTGGCCTTTTTCTCACACGTTTAGGATGCAGAGAAGCAGCTGGGATGGTTGGGTCTGATGGCGGACCGGACGGTGAATCCCAGACGTGTAGATGAAGGGATGAAACGCGTGAGAGCGGACTGTGACGGGGTGAATGGCGCCGCCGAGTCACCGGTCCAGAACCCGGCTGTAGTCCTGAGGCCCGCAGCCTCCTTCGCTCTTCAGTTCTGCAAAGATCTGGGTGAAAAAGTGCGGGTCGGCGTTGATGCGCAGCATCTTGGCGCTGGTGGCGTCGATGATGGCGAGGCAGCGGTCCCAGAAGGCCTCCTTCCCCGCCTCCACCAGGAAGGGCTTGAGGGGGTAGGAGATCTCGTTGCCCATGTAGGAGTAGGACAGGTAGAGGCAGGTGAGCAGGATGGCCTGCAGCTCGTGCTCCGACCCGACCAGGTCGCCGTCCACCACTTCCCGGCACAGCATGTAGACGAACACTACGTTGGCCGGCGTGACGAAGGCCTGGTCCTGCCAGCCCTGCAGCAGCAGTGAGCGGTCCACCGCCCGCAGCCACAGAATGGGGTCGGCGGGAGAAAGGTGCTTGAGGCGATAGCAGCGGCAGCACAGGAACTCCCCGAGGCAACGCAGCAGCTCGCTGGTGGAGGCCTGGACGATGACGCGCTTTGGAGACGAGCTCCCCTGAGGGACCTTCTTCACCGAAGACAGCTGCTGGGGTTTGCTGTAGGAGTATCCGTGGCCCTGACCCATCCCCAGGCCGTAACCCAGACCCAGTCCTGCAGGGCCCTCATAGTTGCACAGGTTGGCACAGGACAGCGACTTCTTCACGTTCTCCCGGTTTAGGTTCAGGACCTGGTCCTTCTGGTAGATGTTGTTGTTATTGAGGGGCTCAGCGAGGACCCCGCCGCCCGCCGGCCCCTTCTTAGGGTTCCCCTTCTTCTTGGTAGAGGCCACCAGCCGCTTCCAGGTCAGCACCGGGAGGAAGATGGACTGGCCTCTCTTCAGGCCGCGTTCCTTCTGGCTGTTGAGGGAGCGGCTGCTGAGGCTGGGGTAGTGGCCGAGAGAGCTGGAGTGGTTGTCGTAGTAACCGCCGGGTTTCCGAGCGCCCGGCGACAGAGACAGTACGGTACCCATGGTGGGTCACAGAGTTTAACCACCTCAGAATCCAGCAGACATGATGATGCAGAGAGCTGGAGACAGAGATCAGAGATTTCTGAAGATCAGAAGACTTTAAGAGGAAAACTGGATCTCATGAGACTGGTTTAACTGGGTCTACTGGAGGACAACTGAATAAAGAACTGGTTCTGTTTGGTTCAGAGAGGCAGAAAGTAAAGGGCTCACCTGTGTTTTCTGGAACTGGAGCTTCTGTTTCCTGCTGCACAGATCAGAGAGGCGCAAAAAAATAAAAATCTATCTGATTGTGCGCTGCAGGGCTGCGCAAAGTGCGCAATCTCAGCGAGCAGAGCGGCTCAGATGTGGAGCAGAGGAGGCTGGGCGGCTGCTGTCATCCCCCTCACTAACCCTCAGAGGCAGCCGGCAGGGACCGACGGCTCGAACCGGAGCGGATCCATATCAACCCGAAAAAAATAAATAAACCTGGAAAGTTTCACTGAGTCCTTTCAAAGCGCTCCATCTTCTCTGATCTCCTCCCTCTGCTTCCGGTCCTGCAGCAGCAGCAGAGGTCCGCTCTGCTGGAGCAGCGGTGGCTGAATGAGCGGAGCTCAGAGCTGCTTCAGTCCGAGCTCTGCGCGCGCGGGGCGGGCAGTGAGCGGCGCGCGCCCCTATCCCCCCCCCAACATGACAAACAGCAGGAGGAGCTTCAGCGCCCCCTGCACACATGATCAGAGCATTTTAAACATCTGATTCTAGAAAATATTGGAATAAAAACAAAACTAAAACATTTTTATGTTTTATAAATTTATTAAAAGGAAAGCAATAAATAACATCAAACATCCAATCCTATGGGACTAATTTTAAATATACAACAATGTTTCATATTAGAGTGAAATATTAAAGCTCAAAAAAAAAATTATTTTAAATTTATTATGTTTTATTTATGGTTGGCAAGGAATAATCAATGGATCATTATTTATACCTAAGTTCGCAGTGATTTGATGAATTTAGCGTTAATCAGCAGAAAAATCAAAATAATACGATTTGTTGCGATCACTGAGTCTGGAAGAGGCTATTTTTTTTTAGAGAATTTTTTGTAATTCAAAAAGAAATAATTGAAAAATGAAAAAACGCCAGGGGTTTGACAAAAACAGTTATAAATAAAAATAACTGAATAAACGTTAAAATAGTGAAGTGATTGAGAGCATATAAAGGGATAACATAAATATTTTGGATTTAGACATAAAGTTTTAACAGTTTGTTGTTATTAGAAGACGATAATGTAGAAAAATAAAATAGTTGCGATAGATGATAGTTTAGTCATAATAATATTATATTTATGGATATAAAACTTGGCCAACAGAAGCAAAATATTACATAAAAAGAAATGGTCAGAAAGTTATTTTCTATAATTTGTAATTCATAATAAAACAACAATATATTAACAGTGACGTCACGGTGCGGTAAGCCTAGCGCCTTTCTCCCCGCTTTACAAGCAAAATCAATGGGGGTATGGCAAGCAGTTTTAACATAAATTCGGTTGTACCGCTTTTACATTCAAGATATCTCAAATTGTTTTATGACTAGACGTTTTTGAGATTTAGGATATCTCTAATTATATTTTGACTAGTCGAAAGGACGTCAGATTGACCATTAGCTTGTATGGAGACGTCAATTTAAGATATCTAGAATGAATTACTGACTATCTGAAATGTAATTTCAAGACATTTTGATTTTAGTTTTGACTAATCAATTCTAATTAAAGATATCTCAAATGCCACC